CATGCTTGGCTACTGAGTTAAGACAGACACAATTTGTCAACAATTTGTCAACTTAACTCAGTAGCCAAGCTATGTTCACCGTGTCTGTGGTAAACATGCGTGGCTACTGAGTTAAGTTGACAAATTGTGTCTGTGGTGAACATAGCTTGGCTACTGAGTTGAGTTGACAAATTTTGTCTGTGGTGAACATAGCTTGGCTACTGAGTTGAGTTGACAAATTGTGTCTGTGGTGAACATAGCTTGGCTACTGAGTTGAGTTGACAAATTTTGTCTGTGGTGAACATAGCTTGGCTACTGAGTTAAGTTGACAAATTGTGTCTGTGGTGAACAAGCTTCTTGCAGATGAATCACAAAATACTTTTCTGTAATTAATTTTATTTTACTCCGCGGAGTTCCTGTAAATGATAAATTGGAAAGTATGGTAAAAACGAAAACTTGCTGATTAATTCTACTAACTGTACAATTGATTTTACAATTATACTATTACTGCTAATTGTTATGTTGTAACGACAATTGATATCCGATCGCCATAACCTTACCCCAAGTAAGTTCACCCTTTGTGAACCTCGTCTCGGTTTCTATGTTCATTAATTGCTTGTTTGTTTGTTATGAATTTCGCGCAAAGGTACACGGGGGCTATCTGCGCTAGCCGTTCCTAATTTAGCAGTGTAAGACTAGAGGGAAGGCAGCTAGTCATCACCACCCACCGCCAACTCTTGGGCTACTCTTTTACCAACGAATAGTGGGATTGACCATTACATTATAACGCCCTCACGGCTGAAAGGGCGAGCATGTTTGGTGTGACGGGGATTCGAACCCGCGACCCACAGATTGCCCTCGAGCTCCCTAACCACCTGGCCATGCCGGGCCACCATTAATTGCCGGTTAATAATTATTTAATACCACATAGCACGGGTTATTAAATGATTTTTGCGCAGTCCGGTAATCATGTGAGAAAACATCTAAATACGTGATTAACATAGAAAAATTAAAATGCAATTTTCAGCTTCCTAGATGAGAAGCGAGAATTAACATACCTAAGATTCTCGGGAGCTGTGAAAATTGGAACTTTAATTGTGTTACTGCTCGTCAGGATTTCCATTTTGTTATTTAGTTCATATAACTTTTAAATTTTATTAATGAGTAAGCTAATAATGTTAATCGTTTTTTTTAGGTTTGGTTCAAAAGATAAACTGTTAACATTATGAAATACTTTGAACTTGTGAACTGTTTTTCTTGCTTTAGATAAAGTTAACGTTGTGTTCAAAGATAACCTAGAGATTCGTTGTTTAGTTAAAGTTAACGTTGTGTTCAAAGATAACTTAGAGATTCATTGTTTAGATAAAGTTAACGTTGTGTTCAACGATAACTTGGATTCATTGTTTAGATAAAGTTAACGTTGTGTTCCAAGATAACGTAGATTTGTTGTTTAGATAAAGTTAACGTTATGTTCAAAGATAACTTAGAGATTCATTGTTTAGATAAAGTTAATATTGTGTTCAACGATAATTTAGATTCATTGTTTAGATAAAGTTAACGTTATGTTCCAAGATAACGTAGATTTGTTGTTTAGATAAAGTTAACGTTATGTTCAAAGATAACTTAGAGATTCATTGTTTAGATAAAGTTAATATTGTGTTCAACGATAACTTAGATTCATTGTTTAGATAAAGTTAACGTTGTGTTCAAAGATAACTTAAAGATTCGTTGTTTAGATAAACTTAACGTTGTATTCAAAGATAACTTAGAGATTCGTTGTTTAGATAAAGTTAACGTTATGTTCCAAGATAACGTAGATCTGTTGTTTAGATAAAGTTAACGTTATGTTCCAAGATAACGTAGATTTGTTGTTTAGATAAAGTTAACGTTATGTTCAAAGATAACTTAGAGATTCATTGTTTAGATAAAGTTAACGTTGTGTTCCAAGATAACTTAGATTCGTTAACTTGTTGAAGGAACATTTCTGTTGTCAGTTAATCAGTTATGATGTTGAACTGTGATTAAAACATAAGTAATTCTAAATGTATGTCTGCAGCTTGAAGAGCTTGAACACCGAGTGGAAGATGCAGAGAGAAGAGCCACACTTTCTGAGGAAAGGGTACGTGCAGAATTGTTTGATCAGAAAGTTGTATAATTTATCATTTTTTCTACTTTTATGGGCACAATAGAAAATCGAATGCAATAAAAACAATACTGACGGCTCCTTATATTCTCCCTGCTGAAACTCAGCTGTTTCTCAATTATTAAAACAGACTCAAACGCAATGTTTATTACCTTTCTGTGTTGGAAGCTGTGAGTAGAACAAGATAACCTGTTCTGAAGGTATTGATTAGCAATAAACGATAGTAAATAATGTGTTTTTATGTATTCTGGTGCAGGGGAAATGATAGAAATGTGTTCAGAAGGTGCACGTTAATAACGGACAATGTTAGATTATGTTTTGTTCTGCTTGTTTGCAATCAAACACAAACTCAAATAATGGGCTATCTGTGCTGTGCCCACAACGAGTATCGAAATCTGGTTTTTAAAGTTATAAATCTGCAGACTTGCCGCTGAGCCATTGATGGAGCTCTGAAGGCGAACGTTACCAGTAAATAACACTGAATAAACATGTTGTGAACGTGTACATTAGCAGTGCGTAATATTAGTACGTTAGCAATGGGTAATACTAGCAAATATATTGTGATGACGGATATTAAAAGTGGGTAATACTAGTGAACGTGTCCTGATGGGTAATACTAGAAACATGTATATTAGCAGTGGGTAATAACAATAAACGTGTAATTTAGTAGTCTGTAATACTAGCAAATGTGTTCTGATGATGGATATTAGTAGTGGGTAATATTAGTAAATGTTTACGTTAGTGTGTAATACTAGTAAATATATTGTGATGACGGGTATTAGAAGTGGGTAATACTAGTGAATGTGTTATGATGGTGGACACTAGCATTGGGTAATACTAGAAACGTGTGAATTAGCAGAGGGTAATAATAATAAACGTGTAATTTAGAAGTTGGTAATACTAGCAAATGTGTTCTGATGATGGATATTAGTAGTGGGTAATACCAGAAAATGTTTTCTTGAGCTGTACTCTTTGCAAACTACTATACATTTTCTACGAAATGATCTTAAGCTCTAAACTTGTTCTACTGAGAATAGCTAAAACATGTTATTGTGTTAACTTAAAACGGTTCTTTGATGATCAGTGAACTCTTCAGAAAAATATCCGTCTGTGTCGATGGATTTCTTTGTTTGCTATAACCATTGAAGCCTTATATAAGTCAGGTACACTCAGTAAAAAGCGTTGTGGTTAGATTGTAAGGAGTTTTGCAGATGTTAAGTGTATTTGATATAAGAAGTTATTGTATTAGTAATAAACCGTATTTAGTATCATGATGTTAAGTGTGTTTGATATAAGAAATTATTGTATTAGTAATAAACCGTATTTAGTATCATGACTTATATCAAACACACTTAACAGGTTTATTACTAATACAATAACTTCTTATATCAAACACACTTAACATCATGATACTAAATACGGTTTATTACTAATACAATAACTTGTATTTAGTATCATGATGTTAAGTGTATTTGATATAAGAAGTTGTTGTATTAGTAATAAACCGTATTTAGTATAATGATGTTAAGTGTATTTGATATAAGAAGTTGTTGTGTTAGTAATAAACCGTATTTAGTATCATGATGTTAAGTGTATTTGATATAAGAAGTTGTTGTGTTAGTAATAAACCGTATTTAGTATCATGATGTTAAGTGTATTTGATATAAGAAGTTGTTGTGTTAGTAATAAACCGTATTTAGTATCATGATGTTAAGTGTATTTGATATAAGAAGTTGTTGTGTTAGTAATAAACCGTATTTAGTATCATGATGTTATGTGTGTTTGATATAAGAAGTTATTGTATTAGTAATAAACCGTATTTAGTATCATGATGTTAAGTGTATTTGATATCAGAAGTTGTTGTATTAGTAATAAACCGTATTTAGTATCATGATGTTAAGTGTATTTGATATAAAAAGTTGTTGTATTAGTAACAAACCGTATTTAGTATCATGATATGATGTGTTTTTATACGTGAAAAAAAGTAAATGATTTGATACATTCGTATAAAAATATTGAAAAGTAGGCGATTATGGAAAATCTTCGTATTTGGATATCTCGAAAGTCGGTTGTGTTTATGTGCATGCAATAAGTGGAGAGTAAAGCGAAAACAAACAAACAAACCTTTACTTTATATAAATATCCACCTAAATACTACAGTGTAGGCTTGTATGTCCTAGTTTTGACAATCTACAGGAGTTCTTACTTTAAAACCATTTCTATTACTTTGAGCTTACTCAAACAATTGATTCACTAATACTATTAAATATTTCCCTCGGGTACTACAAGTTCATACTTTATGACAGCATTTTTTTTATTCATTTTAACAGTATTTATATATATATATATATTTCCATTGATCTTCTTTCTCCCTGTGAGCTTTTATCATATCTGCTATTCACGTGACATCCACGTGTAATTTCACTGCTGTTTTCATGTTGTGCTGTATGCGTAACCGATTCTTATAATTTACTCCAGGAGGTACAATCATGTTTTAATCCACCCCTACTCACACACACAAATACTTGCAATGAACGTTTTGTGATGTTCTTATGTTCAAGTATTACAGAGCCTCATCCATTTTATATTCTTTTAATTTCGCTTCTAACCCTTGATAACCACTATGTGTGTTAACTACCGGATAGTCTTCAAGTATTACATAATCTCAACCATTTTTTGTTCTTGGAATTTCAACTCCTTACCCTATGGTATTAACAGGGTACTACCATATAGTCTATTTTCTATAGTGTCTCACCATGTATTAGTACAAGGTATATTGGAGGTCAGTCTTCCAATAGAGTAAAATCGCATTGAAGAAGAATTAGTTGTTACTTTCCAGTTATATTAATATTAGCACACTGTAGAATTGATGCCATTTCGTCAGATATATTAATATTAGCACACTGTGGAATCGATGCCATTTCGTCAGATATATTAATATTAGCACACTGTGGAATTGATGCCATTTCGTCAGATATATTAATATTAGCACACTGTGGAATTGATGCCATTTCGTCAGATATATTAATATTAGCACACTGTGGAATTGATGCTATTTCTTCAGATATATTAATATTAGCACACTGTAGAATTGATGCCATTTCGTCAGATATATTAATATTAGCACACTGTAGAATTGATGCCATTTCGTTAGATATATTAATATTAACACACTGTAGAATTGATGCCATTTCGTCAGATATATTAATATTAGCGCACTGTGGAATTGATGCCATTTCGTCAGATAAATTAATATTAGCACACTGTTGAATTGGTGCCATTTCTTCAGATATATTAATCAATCGCTATTAGCCAATGACATTTTAATGTAAAATATTATAATTTTCAATATTTTGTTTTGGCTAATATTACGGTGCTGTAACGTAGTTTCTAAGTTTCCAGTTGCGTTTAATAAGTGATAACGTAATGTGAAGTAGGTTTTCAGATGTTTTTACGTAAGTTATATTTAACTTTTTAGTCCATTTTAGCTAATATTAATGTTACTTGAAGTGGGTTCTATTTTTGTTTGTGATGGCGAATTTTTGTTTCCGCTGTTTTTGGTATAGGTTTTTTTTGTCTCTTGTTTTTATTTTTAATCATTACCAAACCTCGCAGCGTTTCATTGAAAGATTTTCAAAATTAAAGTATCTGTTAAGTCAAAAAAGTTCCATGTTCTTTTGAAGGTATGTTTGGGATAAAATGACAATTGGCACTTATTCCTAGCTTGCAAAACAAGTTATTTTTGTTTTACCTTATACATAGTCGTGGTGCATTCTATGTTTTTATTTATTTATTATTTTGACAATCAAGTTAACAGTTTCAACGATGGCTCAACTGGAGAAGACGGTTCTTAACCCCCAAGAACAGGTTTGTTATATTATAATGTAACTTGACTATCAATTGTAACAGTTTCACCTTAAGAAGAACATTCTTGACACCGACATCAGTCTTGTTATTTCGTTACCTAACACATTTTCAATGATAACTCAAATGAAGAAGAACGTTCTTGACAACGACACCAAGCTTGTTATATCATAAAGTAACACAGTTCAACGATAAATTAACTGAAGAAAAACTTTCTTGATACTGACATCAGGTTTGTTATCTCATAAAGTAATACAGTTTCAATGATAACTTAACCGAAAAAGATAGTTCTTGATACTGAAATCAGGCTTGTTATATCAAGAAGTAACCTGACAATCATTTGTACAGTTTCAAGATAACTCAACTGAAGAAGAACGTTTTTGACATCGAAATCGGGCTTGTTATACCATAAAGTAACACAGTTTCAACAATAATTCAACTTAAGAAGAACGTCTTTGACACCGTCATCAGGCTTGTTATATCATAAAGTAACTTAGTTATAATTCTGAGCACCAGTGGATCGATCTCACATGTCCAATCTATACAGTACAGGAAACCGAACTCCGCAACACAGTTGATACAATCAGAAAATACATGTGACGCACTCGTGCATGTACCCGCGAGATAGAAGTATTGAGTTGATAAGAAGTACTGTTGAATATTACAGTAGATACAAACACAATCTCCAGGGACACAGCGACAGTGCACAACTTCTATTAGCGTAGAGATTTAAAAAGGGAACCTAAAAAACATCTTTAAATATACAAGCACAATCTTCAGGAGTATAATCACGTAACAGAGTTTCATTTAAAGTCGAATTTAAAAAAAAAAGAGACTAAACGTTTAAATACAGGCATAACCATTAGGACTACAGTGACAAAGCACAAATTCTCTTGACTTGTACTTTTAGAAATGGGAACTTTGAACAAACATGTAACTACTGGGTTGGTACTTGAAAAGTACCACATTTTTTCCTTATCTCTTAGCTTATAAAGGTAAATTATTTAGTTTACCGAAGTTTTCAAAGATTTTCTGGCATGTGTATTTGAGAGTGCTTACAGACTTTCACATACAGAAAATCCTCCTTGTGCAGTACTGCTTTTATTTCGTGGGCTAGTTATACACGGTCAAGATGCTTGTCCTAGACTTTCTCACAGACGATTTTGGTAAAGATTCATCTTT